CACGGAGCACTTGCAAAACAGCATTAAACGCTAATTATTGTTTCCTGGAAGTCACTGACCTGAGCCAAGGGCTTTTTCTTTCCACAGTTTATACCTCCAATAAAAACCATGTTGGGCATCGCCGGCATGGGGTACTCAAAAACAAAATGCATCCTTTTGAACCAGCGGGCTCAGGAGCTCAGCCATCGTCACCGCCCTGCCAAGAACCTCCGAGGCCAGGAGCTCGAACGGCAGATAGGCAGACATTCCACCTTAACGACCCGGCTCTTCCAGCAAAACCAGTCACCGAGAACCCCTCAAGGCATCCATGAGTCCTTTAGGGACAGATCAACTCGGGCTGGGCAGAGCTGGGCTCGATGTCTCACTCAATCCCCGCGCTGACTGATCGGCAGACTTCGCCAAAATTAAATGCCAAGCCTGTGAATAGTGCTGGCATTGGCAAGTAACCAGGCTCGCTGAAAGCAGGGATTAAAAACGCTTTCTTGCTTTCCTTCTTCTCGGTAGGCATCTCACCGCTGTTCTGAAATGTTGTCGGGTTTATGGTCAAAATTATAAAGTTATGGCACTGTAGAGCACAGAGTCTGGGCAAATCCTCAGGAGCAGGCTCTGGGATTTACACCCAGCTCTGGGATTTACACCCAGCTCAGCGCTGGGGCCGGGAACAGCACCAGGTACAGATGCAATCCAGTGCAGCAGAGGGTTGGATCAGCGAAGGAAACCCCCGAACTGGTGCTGTCGTGCACCACAAACTCCTTCTCATCCTGACCTAAATCTCCCCCTCATTTTCTTCTTCCAGGAGCGTGAAGAATCAATATTCCTGCAATAAATATTGCTGCCGGACTATGATCTTTAGCCCCCGGAGTAGATTAGAGTGACCCTTGTATCCAGAGCAGAGCCTGATTTTTAGCTGGAGTTGCTCCACGGCCTTGCCTGTGCGATGCATCCCAAAGGATCTGCCGGGGCTTTGTCCCCGAGGAGCCGCTGAGCAGCTCTGGTGGAGAGAGCAGATAGGAAAAAGCACCACCCTGATAAAAGTGACAGTCTGATGGGGAATTTTATGGAAGAGAAGATCAGCAGAAAGAAACAATTCCAGCCTGGCATCAAGTGGAGTGGGAGGAGTGAAGCAAAGCCCGAGGGGAAGGTTGGCTCTGGGGAGGATTTTACAAGCCCGGCTTGTGAAATGCAAATGCCTTTCCTTGTAAAAGAAGATTCACGTTCACAAAGGCCCGAGAGTCTGGGGGAAGAGTGAGAGTGGTGAGAGGCAGGAGGAATCCATTCCCTAAGGATCCGGGAAGGCTGGCAAGTGGAAGAAGTTCAAGGGAAGAAGAGAGGAGAGTCTGTTTATTTTGGAGTCATGTTCACAAAGACAAAACTTTATCCTCTCTGGGAAACAAAGGGGTTTGTTGCTGAGACACCTGGGTGATGCTCAGATTCAGCATCTGCCTACTCCTGTATCTCCTTTTCCACTTAACCTCTGGCTTTACATGAGACCGTTCTACCTACAGCACGAGCAAGCAAGGATATCCAGCACCTGCAGCAAGGAGCTAGCACATATCACGAGCTCCAACAAGCTAATCAGGGACTTCATGGACCACAGCAACCACCCGTCCACATTTCCCTGATCCAAACCTAAAAGTGCAGTGGAAAATTCAGCTGCCTCGTGTTTGTGATGGAAGGTGCTGTCAGACAAAAACCTTCACAACAAAATATTAGCCTTGGACTCAAACACAAGACTGCTGGTACGTAAAAGAGCACAGGATGCTCTTAGCAGGAGTTGTTTTTCTCACTAGATAAGCAGCAAATGGTCTTGAAGAAATATTCTCCTGCCTCTTTAAGAGGCAGAGAATTATTGGAAGAGCTGTTATAGTCCAGCAGCCCTTTTGGCATGAATTCCTGCCTGAGATGGTGCTTGTGTCCCTGATTTCAGCTGGAATTAAACACAGCAGGGCATCCGATCCCCTCACCAAACAAATCCCCCGTGCTGGGCAGACCCGAGGAAAGGAGGTGGGATCACATCTCGTGCCTGTTTTTTATGTGGATACAGAAAGCCTTAATCTAAATTATACCTGTAGGTAGAATCAAAGAATCCCAGAATGGTTTGGGTGGGAAGGGACCTCAAAGCTCATCCAGTTCCATGCCCTGCCATGGGCAGGGACACCTCCCACCAGCCCAGGCTGCTCCAAGCCCCGTCCAGCCTGGCCTTGGACACTTCCAGGGATCCAGGGGCAGCCACAGCTCGTCTGGGCACCCTGTGCCAGGGCCTGCCCACCCTCCCAGGGAAGGATTCCTTCCCAATATCCCATCTAACCCTGCCCTGTGGCAGTGGGAAGCCATTCCCTGCTGTCCTGTCCCTCGGAGGGAGAGGTGTGACCCCTGTCAAAGCTCTGGGATCCCACAGGGGTGGCACTGCCGGAACTCTCCCCTTGTTCCCCCTTTCCCAGCCCGTCACCGACCTCAGACAGCGCTTTCTTGTGCCCGCAGTTGATGCCTCCAATGAAAACCATATTGGGCATCACAGGCATGGGGTAGTCAAAGGCGAAGTCGAGTCTCTTCAGGTACACGGCCCCGTGGCTCAGGAGCTCCCTCATTGTCACCGGCCTGCGCAGGAACTCCGAGGCCAGCCCTTCGAAGGGGGAGAAGGCGACGCTGCAGCTGAAGGACTCGGAGAGGAAGATCAGGAAGTTCTTCACCCTCTGGGAGAAGGTCATGCGGTCCGTGAGGAGGGAGAACATGCGCGGGACGTAGGAGGGCGGGTCGGGGCTCTGAGCAGCCTGGAGGTCGATGTTACACGGCACTCCCCTCATGAAGAAGACGCTGGGGATGGAGAAGTGAACGGCAATGATCTGCCCGCAGGGGTTGAAGGGGTCCGTGAGGACGGCGTCAAATTTGCTGTCTTGGATGTATTTCATCACCTCCTGGTTGTACAGCAGGGATCTGCAGGTGGATTCGAACACAGAAGCGCTCTTCTGGAAATCTTTCAGAGTATTCCAAAACCTGATCAGGAAGGGCTCCTCACTAAAGCACCTCGGACCGAACGAGCGCATCAGTGCTACCATCTCTTCCTTCTTGATGGGGACAGGGTAGGTTTTCAAGTCATAGATATCTGAGGAGTCGATGAGTACCTTGTTGTCCGGGGCCAGAACCACAATTTCGTGCCCCCTCTTGCTCAGCTCTGCCAACACTTCCCTCATGCTGAGCCAGTGGCTGCCCTCCATGGGGATCACCAGCAGCTTCCCAGCGCTGGCAGGACCCAGGAGGCACAGGAAGGGGAGCAGCAGTGCCCGCAGCATGTTGGCAGCTGCACAGAGAGGAGCCCACACACTGAGAGGCCGGGGCTGGCTCTGGGGCTTTTGTAGCCGTGCCCCACCCGCGCCAGCGTCCGGAGTGGCACCACTCCCACTGCTCCCTCTGCCCTTGCACTTGACTCCTGATCCAGGGGTTCACAGGTTTGCACGCAACGGAGCCAGGGCAGGTGATTCATCATCATAAAAGGGAAAGGTCGGGTCTGTGCTGCCAAGGTGGCTCTGCGTGAGCTGAGAAAGGTGTGCCGCCTTCACTCACGCGAGCTGAGACACCTCAGACTCCTCTTCTTGCCCTCAGCCACCACCCTGACATTTACTGACCAGAGCAAGTTGCCCAGTGAAATACAACTTCGAGATAAATAGGAGAAATCAGTGTTGAAGTACCTGGGTTTGGGGTTTTTGTTTTGTTTTTCATAACCCAAACCATTGGGCACCGCTGAGAAAAATTCAATTTCTTTCCATTAATGCAAACTTCCATTTTTTTTTTTCTGAGAGAAGCAGCCAACAGGAAGCCTTCCCTCACCTCTCCACACAACTTTCACCTAACCCCTTATCTTGTCAGCTCTAAAACGAGGTTGTGAAACAGCAGTTCACCGTTGTACCTCTGATAACAGGGTCCAACAACATGCTGCCGATTCACCAAGTCATGAGTTGTTCAGGGGCCAGTGTCAGGGCAGTTCAATACAGGTCCCTCTTGGCTATGAATTGCTGGGGCTTTAAAAGCTGGTGATAAGCTCTCATTAAAATTTATAAGTTTAGAAGTAGGTGGCAGGGCAGGTGCCTTTGGATGGAGCTCCCATCTGCAGGGCGTTCAGGGCTCTACAGCCCTGGTGGAGTTTTCTCTTCCCAGCTTTCTGCCCTCCCCAGGAACCTGCCCTCCAAAAGGAGCAGCTCCATCACCCACACTGTCTCAACTTTGGTAGTTCCCAACATGGATTAACATAGTGGGAAGTTTCAAACAGCTCAGAGGAAGGAGCTGCACAGAAAACACACCAGTTGCCCTGACAAGCTGTTAAAGGAACACCAGGAGGCTGATGATACCCAAAAGCCCAAGCTGGAATTTACAGAAAACACCCAGAAAAGCTTCAAAGCTGATTCAATAACCTGTAAAAGAAGGGGAGGATAAAAAAAGAAGTGGGGGGAGCATTTGTTTTGATAGTGACACCTTGACACAACAGCATGGAAAGGAATCAGTCTGGCAGATGGTTGTGACAGAAAAAAAGATGGTGAATGGGTAAAACTTAAGCCCTATAACTTTCAATGTGGACAAAAGGAGAAAGGATATATGGAAGTATAGGCAGACAGTTCCCACTGGGAAGGGAGGACACCAAAACTGAGGTAAGCTTCAGTTCAGTAAGAGTTTAACCTTTGCATAAAAGTTACCTGTCATGTAAATTCTCATAATTAGGCCTGATGTGGCTTTAGGATCGCCAGGAAATGATGTAACCTGAGTGCTGGATATTAGAAAGTCCCACTTTTGCCTCATGCAGGACTTGTCATTATCTTTTTATTTTTAAACACCAAGATGTTTTCAGGTGAGATTTGATGTAGGGATGGGAGTGGCATCCCTGCCAAGTGAGATGACCTTCCAGGTCCCTTCCAACCCAAACTATGACTCTGTTTTCCTATTTATATTTTTGCCTTTTCACCAGAAGAAAAAACAAACAAAAAAACCCCCAACAAAATAAAACGTTATACCTGAGAGAGTTTTTTCTTCTGCTGACAGTTTATCCCTCCAATAAAAGCCATGTTGGGCATCACTGGTCTTGGGAACTCAAACACAAAATCATATCTCATTAACCAAAATGACCCACGGCTCAGAAGCTCTGTGGCTGTCACCTTCTTCTTCAACACCTCATATGCAAGATCTTCCACTTTAGCATATACTGGCTTGCAGTAAAAGATCTCCAGGAGATGCACCAGCATGTTCTTCACACGCTGAGCAAAGGTCATGGTGTCTGAATAGTACAGGAAGAACTTGGGGATGTAGGAAGGAGGGTTTGGACACTGGGTGGCATCGAAATCCATCCCACAGGGAAAGCCCCGCAGGAAGTAGACGGAAGGGACTGCAAGGTACTCGGCCACCACGGGCCCACACATGAGGATGGGATCCGTGAACACCACGTCGAACTGGCTCTCTGCCAGCTCCCGCATCAGGCCTCGCTCGCGCAGGAGGCTCTCGCAGTTCATGAAGAAGACCTTGGACAGCTCTACCGTGCTCTGGTACGAGGCAATAACGAGGTTCAAAACGGATCCTCCGGTGAAATGAGCATCGATGAAGGCCTTGAGCGCGGCAGCCAAATGCCCGTCCGGGTAGGGGGCGGGGTAGACCCTCACGGTGTAGTTGTGAGGCTCCTTCGACGTCATGTACAGGCTCGTGGAGGGCACCACCACCACCACCTCGTGGCCCTTCTGCCGCAGTTTCTCCACCACCGGGCGCATGCTGAGCCAGTGGCTCCCGTCCTGAGGGATCACCAGGATCTTCCCGCCTTCAGCAAGGATGAAGGACCATGCCAGGAGAAGCAGGAGGCTCGTCCGGCCGAAAAAGCACTGGGAGGGGAGAGCCATTGTGGTGGAAGGGAAGCAGAGGGTTCTGTTCCACAGGGCTGCCGTGCACTCCTTTATATGCAGGTCCATGCAAGCTAAGCAGGGAACTTATTGACCACAGAAAGAAATATTTAACTTCCCACCACTGTTGGGATTAGCCTGCAATATTGCACGTGTCCGTGTAATGGAAGGGAAGCGTGGTGTCCTTGGAAAAACATTCGGGCTCTCTGTTAATGTTTAAGCTTGGAAGTCTGTCAGCACCTTTCTTCCTCCACAAAACTAAGAGCAGGGCTGGCATCTTGCAGTAATAATTGTGGATAAGACCACTGACTTGGGAAATCAGAGAATCACAGAATCGTAGAATCAGCTGGGTTGGAAAAGACCTCCGAGATCATCAAGTGCAACCCTGACTTGGGAAATGATGGAGAGCGGCTTGGCGAGCTCTTCTGCCAGCTCCCTCATCACCCCAGCGTGGATCCCATCTGATCCCGAGGATCCAAGTGGCTCAGCAGGTCACTAACTGTTCCCTCCTGGATTACACACCTCCTGAGAAAACAAGCCTGCTTTTGCTTTCAGAGGGCAGCCCTTAAAACACACCCTGCAGAAGGGCTGGAAACTGCAGCACCATCTCCTTCATGGACTAACCCCACTGAGAACACAAGGCTCCTGTTAAATGCCCAGCCTCTGGAAGCAGTCAAACCTGCAGCTCTTCTGAAGAGATCACAGCCCCCAGGATGTCTCAGGCAGTCCCAAAGCTGAGGAGGAGGAGAACAATCCTGTTTGGCTTTTTCCCCCTCCAAAAATAGAGGAACTAAATGCTGGGCTCAGGGCAAACAAAGGGAAAGGAGGGTGGAACAGGCCTTTTGGGACACAAAGAAGGAGCCATGGCCTCTGGTCATGGCCTTGCAAACCCTTTCTATGGGCTGTGAACAAAGCAAAATTTGGGAGGAGTTGTGATACCTTTCCCTGATCCCACTGACAGCACAGACACGTGGAAAACCCCAACAACCAAACCAGACCTCTGGGCTCTCTCCTCTCACAGACACTTTCTTATGGACTCCACAGACTTTTTGTACCAGACCATCAGAGCAAAAACTGTGTTAAAGGTGAGGCAGCAACAGGAAGAGCAGAATTAAAGAAAAAAAAAATCAAATTAGAGGTAAGAAAGGATGAAGTTCTAGGTTAGTACAGGTCAGATCGATGCTGGGTAATTATTACTGAGGCAATTAACAGCCTGGTCAATAGTTCAAACTAACATGCAAAGTTTCCCTGTGTTTGTTTTTCATTAGCAGGAGCAAAGGGCACCTGCAGCCCTTTCAGCTCTGAAGGGTGTGGTGCTCCTGATTTATGTGCAAACAGGGATCTGGTGAGCTGAGGGCTCTAGCAGTGAGAGCCATGAGCCTGCTTGGAGGAAAACTTTCCCCACTGGGGACTAAAGGGTGTCAGGTTTGTGTTAAACCAGGCCTGGGTGACCCCAGACTGCGGGTGTGTTCTCCTCTCAGATGGGACAAAGCTTGTGGGGGTTATTCCAGGGTGTCTCTGAGCTGGCTTTGGGGAGTTGACACTGTCCTAAAGCTCTCCCTAGCTGCTCATCCCTGGGACGTGTGAATTTCTGAGCAGCAAACAGGGGCATTAAGGAAAAAGGGTGGAAAATGGATATCTCAGCAGCACTAAAACTAGAGCTAACCCCAAATGTTTTCCAGGCAGCCTGGAAGAGTTGGTTCCACAAAAACCTGGATTTGTTTTCCTCCTGTGGGGTGAGATTGATGCCCCAGCTTGTGCTCCAGGCCCTGCAAGCAGGGAGAGGTTGCTCAAATCCCAGAGTGATGCCCAGAGAAGCTGTGGAGCCCTGGAAGTGTCCAAGGCCAGGCTGGATGGGGCTGGGAGCATCCTGGGCTGCTGGAAGGTGTCCCTGCCCATGGGACTGGATGAGCTTTAAGGTCCCTCCCAACCCAACCCACGGTGGGATTTGATGTAATTTGATTTCCCAGGTCTCTGGATGAAGGATCAGGCTTATCCCTGGAGGAATCCTTGTGCAGTTGAAGCCAGCCCTTTCTCTTTTTTTGCATGCTGAGCAAGCTCTGGCAAGTGCAGGTTGGTGGTTGCTGACACGAACCTGCCCAATTCCCCCCTCAGGTTTTTCCTGCCTTGGCATTTTGCCTGCAGAGGATAAGACAGGATTTAGTTTGGCCAGCAGGACTTGGGAGGAAAAACACCCCACAAGAGCAATTCTGGGAACTGGAAAGTCATTGAAACCTCTGTGAGGGTGAGAAGCAGCAGGGAAGGAGATCACACAGCACAGATTGTTTCCTAAGCTGCAGCTCTTTCCTAGGCTGGAACTAAAAAGGATATGGCAGTGATAGTATATTATCCTGAAATGAATGACTGCCCTAACAGACAGGTGACATTTAGGGCTGTCCAGGTAACTTTGTAACTGGAACTATTACAAATATTTATGCAGCAAATATCATTGTGTTTGATATTTGTAAATAAATATAACACTCTTAAACCCTTTGCAGATTTTTGTCCACAGCCCTCTCTCAGATATCGTGCCTTTAAACTCACGTTACAGAAGTAATTTTAACTTAGTTTCTTTTTAAATTTTAACTTAGCTTTAAGATGAGGTTCCCGAGGCAGGAGGGGATTTTTCTGGAGGGGATTTTTGTGTTTTACAGCTTCCTTCACTATCTCTTCTGCAGGTGCAGGGATGTGGGGAGGAGCAAGCTGAGATGAACGTGGTTAGAGCAGCACTGTCAGGCTGAGACATTCACTTTAATTTGAAAGGACCAGTTAGAAATGTTCCTTTACCAGAGCTCCCCATGTGCTGCTGGGTCTGCCCGGAGGGTTTCAAAACAGGACCTGGGCTCTCCATCCTTGTGCCTGGAGGTACAATGGGCTTTTTCTTTTTTTTTTTCTTTTCAGCTGCATTTTTTTCTTTACTTGAGTAACCACCTACTTAAATCTGGGGTTTATTTGAATATTTGCAGGTAACCAGCTGTTAAAGTAAGTAAATTAGGTAAGAAGAAGCAGGAGGAACTTTGAAAGGTGGCTGTAGCTTTGAGCCCTGAATTTTGCCTTGATCAAATCATGCGAACTGTGTTTTTATGGACCCAAAGAAGCAACTTTGGCTTAAATTTGGCTACAAATGAGGTGTTTATCTTGCCTTGTAATTGTATTTCTGAACAATAATGGCCAACCCAGGGCTGTGAGCAGATAGATTTTATTTTTCCCTCCCCTCTGATTCACTTCACACTTGTTTACTCTCTGCTGCATTTCTGCCCCCTTGCTGGGCCCTATTCCAGGTGAAATAGGAGAAATTCCTCTGCTGTCTGCAGAAAATGGGGCTAAGAAAGGCAGAGAAGGAGGAATACACAAGGTTTTGCCAGGTCTGGAACATGTGATTTTCACCTGCTGAGAGTGTGAAGACAGAAGGTGGCAGGCACAGAGATAAAATATTCGGTGAGAGGTCATTCTGTAGACAATGAGGGCAGGATGGCTCTGCCCTTGTAGCAAACATACAGACTCTTTGCAGCTCTGAGTTCCTCAAGATGCACAGTAAATGCCATGCAAACAGCAAGAATTTGCCTCCTAAATCTCAAACTAGTGCCAGCCTTTGAGTCTAAAGTGAAAGAATGCCTTACTTAGTTATTCTAATATTCTAGTTTATACTGCTATTCTTATTTGTCAAGATTATTCTTATTTGTCAGATTTAGTGGGCTCTGCATAAGCCTGTCAAAGAGTATAAAAGAAACCTGAAAGAAGAAAGCAAAAACCACCCCTTCAGCTCCAAGACTGTGCAGGGATATTGTGTGAGCACAGTTCAGAAGGGAAGGAGTAATTTCCTAGGGAAGAGATTTGTGTCCGGGAACAAAACAATGTTAATATTTCAGAGACTACAAAATAGCTTTGAATTTCTAACTCAGCTTTGAAGACCCTGCAGAACAATCCTGGTAAAAGCAAATGTTAAGGAATAGATGTGAAAACCTGGGGTTTGCATTCACCAAATACACTATTTGTGGGTTATTTCCTCCCATTTCAATGTGATATTTATGTTCCACCTCCCCAAACAGGAACAACTTAAGACAGACAGACAATTTGGGAAGTGAATGGTAGGAAAGTACAACCAAAGCAAATTAACTGTCGTTGCAGAGCCTGGAGTTAAAACCAAAATGTGAGTCCCAGAGCGTGGCCTTTGGGGTTTCGGTCAGATTAAAGAAATATATGTCAGATTCCATTAAAACTAAATCCAGACTGGATCTGCTTGGCGAATAATGCACTTCACTGAGTACAGTAATTTGTAGCTGGCAGATGAAATCCCTGTTTTTGTGAGAAAATCCTTATTAATTCCAGGAGGTGTCTCTATAGGGTGGTTTGATTTCAGCCAGTGGAAAACACCTGCCCAAAGCTGGTTGTTTTAAATCATTCCCAGAAATTAAAAATGACCAATAGCCATCAATTTCCCAGCTGCAGTGTAGTGAATTTTCTTCAGGAAAATGCAGGACTCGAAGGAAAAGGAGCCTTACCTTAGTCAGAGGTTTCTTGTTAGCACAGTTTATTCCTCCAACGAAGACCATGTTGGGCATCACGGGCCTGACGTACTCAAAGACAAAGTCGAGCCTCATCAGCCAGATGGAAGCAGAGTGCAGAAGATCCTTCACGGTCACGTCCCTCTGCAGGACTTCTGAGGAGAACTTCAGCGCTTCTGCGTAGTAACCATCGCAGTACTTGAGTCCCAGGAGGGAAACCAGGGCGTTCTCCACCCTCTGCAGGAAGGTCATGCGGTCCGAGTTGAAGGTGAACGGCCGTGGGACGTAGGACAGGGGACTTGGGCACTGTGGGACCTCAAAGTGGAGGTTGCAGTCCAAGCCCCTCATGAAGAACACGAAGGGGAGGGAGAGGTAGTTGGCGAGCGTGGCCCCGCACAAGAAGACGGGGTCGGTCAGCACGGCGTCGAACCCGCTCTGGTTCAGCGCCCTCAGGGTCTCCTGGCTGCGGAACAGGTCCTTGCACTGGCTAAAGAAGGTGTTGTAGATTTTCACCGTGCTCCTGTACAC